TACTCAAGTAAACCACAGCTTCTTCCAAAGCTTTGAAACTCCACACCAAAGAAGTTCAGCTATGGCTTCTTTACCCCAAGAAATTGATGACTGGCCAACATTTTCCCCTACCACTCCCCATTTTTTCAAGATCATTCTAAAGGGCAACACTTCCAGTGACGCAAAACTTGTAAGCACCTCTCTCTTTCTCGCACTCTCTTTATATTGCTAGTCATACATGTGTGAAAAAATGTTTGTTATGTTATGAGAAGTCTGAGATGATTCATTTTTTTATCCACAAAAAAAAATATATATATATATTAGATGATTCTTTTCACGTTTTGATCAGTTATGTGACACAATCTCTGTGGTGCAGCGCATTCCAAAGAATTTTGTGATGAAATATGGGGATGATCTATCAAATCCAGTATCTCTTGAGCTTCCAAGTGGAAGTGGTTCAGCATGGAAAGTAGACCTCAGAAGATTGGATGGTGAGGTGTGGTTTGACAAGGGCTGGGCAGACTTCTCTGAGTTTTACTCCCTAGACAGAGGTCACTGGCTAGTTTTTGGATATCAAGGGAATTCCAAATTCCAGGTTTGCATATTTGATAGAACTTGCACAGAGATCGACTATCCTTTGAGAAAGCAGGAGATGGAAGAAACTGATGATACAGACGATGATTTTCATGAAGATTCTGGTGATGATTCTGTCGAAGAACAACCAGACGATTCAACCTGCCCAAGAAAAACGAGGAAGAAATCTTCATTGCCTTGTCCCAGGCCTCAGAAGAAAAACAGGACAAGTTCAAGAGGTAAATCAGAATTAAACCAAGAAATTACACAACTTTATAAACTGATATTTCAGAAGTCTAAATCAAAAATGAAACTAATAGATTACATGTTCTTAATAATTACCATGTCGTGTTTTCTGACATTATGTTCTTGTTTGCAATACCCTGTTGTATTCTTTTAACAGGGAAAGATGATTATCCTGCTAAATTAGGCAGTGGAAGCACATCAAGCACTCGAAGATTCGAAAAACGAACACCCGGGTTTCTTGGGGGGATCCGTCCATTGCCTGAAAGTAGAAACGCTATAGCTCTTCAAAGAGCTAATGCTTACAAATCTCAACACCCTTTTTCTGTCATTGTTGCCATGAAGCCCTCATATATCACAGGGTTCTTGTTGGTAAGCTTTCTATAGACAAGCATGCTTGCTGGCTGGGCCATGACAGATTCTGTTTACTTATATCAGTGGAGCAATCATTAGTGTTATTTGCTACCAACATGGTTACCACATTGGGTGAGCGATAGTCTGAATTACAAGCATGATTGGTTTATCGCATACACTATCATAGTGTCATAGAGATTCAAACTTGAAACAATTATTCTACAAGTCAAGATAATTTTTTACTGGGCTAATTCTCGTTGGCACATAATTGATTTTTTAATTGAAGATAAAATGCCACATATATTCTCGACCGAAAAAAAAATTGTCATATATATTGAGAATGAGAACGAGTTTATCCTTAATTTTAAAGAGCCAATCTTTTTTTTAATATTTTTTTTGACTAACCAACATAACAGTATCACATTAAGTGAAGTGTCAGGTAAATTGGATAAAAAGTTGGGCTATTCAGCATTTTGCATTAACTCCGTTTACTTGTCATATTACTCAAGTAAACCACAGCTTCTTCCAAAGCTTTGAAACTCCACACCAAAGAAGTTCAGCTATGGCTTCTTTACCCCAAGAAATTGATGACTGGCCAACATTTTCCCCTACCACTCCCCATTTTTTCAAGATCATTCTAAAGGGCAACACTTCCAGTGACGCAAAACTTGTAAGCACCTCTCTCTTTCTCGCACTCTCTTTATATTGCTAGTCATACATGTGTGAAAAAATGTTTGTTATGTTATGAGAAGTCTGAGATGATTCATTTTTTTATCCACAAAAAAAAATAAAATAAAAATTATATATATATTAGATGATTCTTTTCACGTTTTGATCAGTTATGTGACACAATCTGTGTGGTGCAGCGCATTCCAAAGAATTTTGTGATGAAATATGGGGATGATCTATCAAATCCAGTATCTCTTGAGCTTCCAAGTGGAAGTGGTTCAGCATGGAAAGTAGACCTCAGAAGATTGGATGGTGAGGTGTGGTTTGACAAGGGCTGGGCAGACTTCTCTGAGTTTTACTCCCTAGACAGAGGTCACTGGCTAGTTTTTGGATATCAAGGGAATTCCAAATTCCAGGTTTGCATATTTGATAGAACTTGCACAGAGATCGACTATCCTTTGAGAAAGCAGGAGATGGAAGAAACTGATGATACAGACGATGATTTTCATGAAGATTCTGGTGATGATTCTGTCGAAGAACAACCAGACGATTCAACCTGCCCAAGAAAAACGAGGAAGAAATCTTCATTGCCTTGTCCCAGGCCTCAGAAGAAAAACAGGACAAGTTCAAGAGGTAAATCAGAATTAAACCAAGAAATTACACAACTTTATAAACTGATATTTCAGAAGTCTAAATCAAAAATGAAACTAATAGATTACATGTTCTTAATAATTACCATGTCGTGTTTTCTGACATTATGTTCTTGTTTGCAATACCCTGTTGTATTCTTTTAACAGGGAAAGATGATTATCCTGCTAAATTAGGCAGTGGAAGCACATCAAGCACTCGAAGATTCGAAAAACGAACACCCGGGTTTCTTGGGGGGATCCGTCCATTGCCTGAAAGTAGAAACGCTATAGCTCTTCAAAGAGCTAATGCTTACAAATCTCAACACCCTTTTTCTGTCATTGTTGCCATGAAGCCCTCATATATCACAGGGTTCTTGTTGGTAAGCTTTCTATAGACAAGCATGCTTGCTGGCTGGGCCATGACAGATTCTGTTTACTTATATCAGTGGAGCAATCATTAGTGTTCTCTCTCTTTAAAGATTTTGTTATTGTTTTCTTCTTTCTTTCCACTTTTCTTCTTTTTTTTCTTTTCCAGTGGTTGCCATCCGAGTTTCACAAGCTATATCCTATTAAGAATTCTGGTGAGGTTATCCTTCGAGTTTTGGATCACAGAACTTGGCCTGTTAATTTGAAATATGGAGGAGGAAGAGCTCAATTCCTGTCTGGTTGGATGGACTTTGTGTGTGACAATAATTTGAAAGTTAATGATGTATGCGCTTTTGAGTCGATTGACAACAAGGTTAAGCCTTTATTTGATGTTGTCATTTTTCCCAACATAGAAGCTGCAAATTGCCCCAATGAAAGGGAACAAACAGTGCCTGAGATAGAAGAAACTAATGAAGATGATGATCCTAGTGATGACTCTAGTGATGAGTCTGGTGATGCTGATTATCTTTCTGACGATTCTGATAACGATTCTGTTGAAATCATAGAAAATTGTACACCTTTCCCGAGAAGAACAAAGGAGAAATCTCCAATGCCATGCCCTCAGCCTCCCAAGAAAAACAAAGCCAGTTCAAGTGGTAAAGTAGAATTACACCAAGATCAAACTTAGTCAGACTAAGAAGCATTCAATATGATGAAATGAAGTTTGAGAAGTCCATGAAAAAACAAAGATTCATCTATTTTGTTAACCGTATTTTGTTCTGTTCTAACCAGTAATGTTTGATTATATTCTTCAACAGGAAAAGTTTATTTCCCTGCAAGCGGAAATGCTACAGCTCTTCAAAGAGCTAATGCTTTCAAATCCAGACACCCATTTTTCAAGGTTGCTATGCGTACCAGTTATATCCATAACCGTAATATGGTAAGCTTTCTATAGAGCCATCCCATTCCTTTTACAGAGCAAATTAAATCATAAACATTCTCTCCAAAGTTTTATCATTGTCTTTCCTTCATATATTTCTTTCTTTCTTTCTTTTTCCAGAATGTGCCATACACGTTTGTCAAGAAACATCTTAAACAGACAAATAATTATGTCTTCCTTCGGGTTTCGGGTGCAAGAACATGGTGTGTCAAATTATGCCAATATGTTGGAAGAGCTAAATTCCAAGGTGGCTGGCCGAAATTTGCGAGGGAGAATAGTTTGGTAAAAGGTGATGTGTGTATATTTGTGTTGGTTAACAGCATCAAACCTTTATTTGATGTTGTCTTTTATCACACTCGAGACTCAACAACCACAAATTGAAAGAGAAGCCAGAATCCTGATAGATGAAGTTGTTGAATCTGAACATTGAAGGCAGAGGAGGCCTGCAAATTAAGTTGCTTATATATATATATATTTGCCCTTGTTTGTTATTTTGAATATCAGTTTTCATCTTGGACAGATCTTTTGAAAATGTATCAATGTAAATCTATCATCTAGGATATCTCTGTACACTTTTTTAGTCAGTTTTAATTGATCTCCATTATGAGCATTCATTCTCACCATCATATTCAACAATACATTTGTTTTATGTAGAATGTAGAGCTGGTTTTTCCAGGAGTTTCGTAGACACAAGAAATTCAGTGTTTGAATTCCAATTGCCAACTTTTATCTAGTGGATTGTCTGCCTTTGCAAATTAAGCAATTGGGCTGCTCATTGAAAAAAAAAAAAAAGCTTCTTTTCTTTGAGCTGCGCATTCTCTAGGAGAAGAATGTGTACTCAAATTTTGCACGTTTGTAGATGTTTATAAGCTTCTTTTCTTTGTGACAATAAAAAAAAAGCTTCTTTTAATTAATTAATTAATTTTTTTACAGTATTTCGCAATATTGATGACAAAAAATGCAACTACTACACACATTTTTGCCTTCATCAGAATATTGACGAAAAAAATATATCCCAAAGAATACAAATACCCCTACACTAAAAATGACCCAAAAAACTATCTCAAAAAACAGAGAGAATAAAAAAGACCTCAAAAATACTGGGTGAGTGAGTTGAAGCACTGACGTTGAGTTGATCAAGTTGAGTGAGTGATCAATTACTTTTTTATTGGTCAGGTCAATTAATTTAAGCCCGAGTAAATTGGTCACCACCTTTGTTAAAAATAAAATAAAATAAAAATAAAAAATCACACAGAAACAGAACAGACCCCTGTTTTTCTAGCTGGGAGAGAACAAGAGGACAAATGAAGTAAACTACAGATTTCCCTCAACTGAAACACATCACAACGCTTTTGATCTTCAAGTTTTCAACAATGACTTCTCTTTGTAGGGAAATTGATAACCCTACAAAAAGATTCTCCTCTACCACTCCCTATTTCTTTATGATGATTCCGAAGGGTGCTTCTAGATGCATCAAACTTGTAAGCAGCTAGCTCTCTCTCTCTCTCTCTCAAACTGTAGTTTGCTCTGCTCTCTATCTATATGTAACTTAGTCAAAGGAACCTGGTAATGCTCAAAGTTTCTAATTTCCATAAGAATCATTTCTGATGATCGAGTCCATTGGGTTGTTTTAAATCAAGTTTACTCTTTAAAATTTTATTATAAAATAAATGGTAACCTTTTTCTATGCGTTTGAAAAATGTTTGGTGCAGTGGTTATGCAATATGTTATTGAGATGTCTGATATCCTAGCCACAGAAAGATGAGATAATGCTTTTCACTTTGTGGTCAGTTACTTACATGTTCTGTGTTGTGCAGAGGATCCCAAATAAATTTATGATGAAATGTGGAGATGATCTGTCAAATCCAGTATTTCTTAACGTTCCAAGTGGTTCAAAATGGAAATTGGAACTCAGAAGATGGGATGGTGAGGCTTGGTTTGACAAGGGTTGGCCTGAGTTCTTTGAGTTCTACTCTCTGGACAACTGTCACTCGTTAGTTTTTCGATATGAAGGGAATTCTAAATTCAAAGTTTGCATATTTGATCAAAGTTTCAAACAGATTGACTATGCATTAAAAATGCCCAAGATGAAGGAAACCAATTCTGATGATTCTAGTGATGATTCTGGTGATGTTACTGAAATCTTAGACAAATCTTTACCCCGCCCCAGAAAATCAAGGGAGAAATCTCCGTTGCAGTGTCTTCGGCCTCACAAGAAAGCCAGAACAAGCTCAAGCGGTAAAGCAGAAACCAAACATCTTAGTTCTACATCTTAATAAGACCAAGAAACACTCAGCCTTATGAAATGATGATTGAGAAGTAAATTGAAAATGAAAATTGGTCCAAATCAGAAATGAAAATTTCGTACATTTTTGTTTTGATCTTTTACATTATTGTGTTTTCTGTGTGTTTGTCTCCTAACTTGTAATGTCCTATTATATTCTTTAGCAGGCAAAGTTGATTTTCCTGCTAAAAGACATGGTGGAGGCAAGTCTATCACTGCAAGATTCCCAAAGCGAACAGAACCGATTCTTGGGAGGCTGCATCCATCGACTACAAGTGGGAAGGCTATAGCTCTTCAGAGAGCTAAAGCTTTGAAGTCTGACAACTCTTTTTTTATGGTTTCGATGGGGCGCACTAATATTGATGGATATCGTATGGTAAGCTTTCTATGTACTGCCATGCTGGGCCATCACAACTTCTGTTAACTTGTATGTATAGATCATGTCTTGAGAGAGCTAAGGCTTTTAAATCCAAATACCCTTTTTTTGAGGTTGCTAAGCTATTCATCTCCAATATATCCTTGGAGGTTTCCTGTTAAGCTTTCTGTGCTATTCATCTCCAATATATTATAGAGATGACTCATTTCTTGGCCACAAAAAGACCAGTTACGTTTTTCACTCTATGATCAGTCAGATGACACGTTTTGTGCTGTGCAGAGTATTCCAAAGAAATTTTTGAGGAAATATGGTGATGATCTATCAAATCCAGTACTTCTTAAGCTTCCAAATGGTTCAAAATGGAACGTAGAACTCAGACGATGGAAGGGTGAGGCTTGGTTTGACAAGGGTTGGGCAGAGTTCTCTGAGTTTTACTCTCTAGAGCATTGTCACTCCTTAGTTTTTCGATATGAAGGGAATTCCAAATTTCACATTTGCATATTTGATAAAAGTTTCGTAGAGATTGAATATCCATTAACGATGCCAGAGATGAAAGAAACTGACGCGGATGATGATTCTAGTGATGAATCTGATGATGCTTCTCTTGAAATCTTAGACAAATTTCCACTATGCCCAAGAAAATCAAAGGAGAAATCTTCGTTGCCATGTCCACGGCCTCACAAGAAAAAAAGAACAAGTTCAAGTGGTAAAAGCACAAAACAACATTAACTTACAATTGGGTCCAAATCAGAAATGAAATTTATGGAATATTCATTTGGTTTTCCATGTTTTATATTGTTGCATTTTCTGCCATTCTTCTGTTCTAAGTTGTAATTTCATGTTATATTCTTTTACAGGCAACATTGATTTTCCAGCCAAAAGACATGATCAAGGCACGTCTAGCACCCCGAGATTCCTAAAACGAACACAAGTCGTTCGTGGGAGGATGCATCCATTGACAACAAGTGGAAAAGCTTTAGCTCTTCAGAGAGCAAAAGCATACAAATCTGACAAGCCTTCTTTCATAGTCCCCATGCATCGTTCTTATATCGGTCGACATCCAATGGTAAGCTTCTATAGACAACCATTCTGGGCTATCACAACTTCTGCTAACTTGGATGTATAGATCATTTCAGTGTGAAAAAGAATGGAGCAAAGATACATACTTTCACAAAACAAAATCGTAAATATTTTCTCTTCAAAATTTTCTTAATGTCATTTTCTTGTTTTCCTTTTAATTACTTTCAGTGGTTGACATCCGATTTTTCCATCCTTATGGGACATCTTAGTAAGAATTCTGCCAACGTTATCCTGTGGGATTTGGGTGGGAGAGCTTGGGTTGTTGAATTTATAGCAAAACCAAGGGCCAAGTTCCAGTCTGGTTGGCATGAATTTGTGCGAGGCAATAATTTGAATATTGGTGATGTGTGCGTCTTTGTGTTGATTGATGACACTAGACTTGTGTTTGAAGTTGTCATTTTCCGTGCTGTAGAAGCTGCAAATTGCACCTTGTCACCAGGTACGTTGTCTTTTAAATTTTGAATTAATTTTGATGGAAGTGCCATAAAGATTAACTATCTATCCCTCATCTATTGCAACATGCGGCAGATGTTGATGGGGAAGAAACTGATGAGGATGAGGATTCTGTAGATAGTTTGGATGACTTTCCACCATGCCCTAAAACAAGGAAGATATCTCCAATAGCACCACAGCCTCACAAGAAAAACAGAACATGTTCAACTAGTAAAACAAAAAATATCGAACATGTTTGTGGCTCATCTAAGACTCGAAAATTCGTAATTCGAAGACCTGAGGTTCCAAGGAGGATGCATCCAGTTGCAGCAAGTGGAAAAGATAGAGCTCTTCTGAGAGCTAATGCTTACAAATCTAAATACCCTTCTTTCACGGCTGCTATCCATCCGACAAATATATGTGGATGTTATTTGGTAAGCTTTCTATGTCGCATACAACTTCTGCTAACTTCTATCTGTATATGCCATTCTGAAAACAACTAAGCTAGAAAAGATACTTCCTTTTGCATAGCAAATGACATCATAAATATACTCTCACAAAATTTGATTGTTGGTTTTCCTGCTTTCCTTTTTTTCTTTTCAGGCTTCGCCAGCCGAGTTTGTCAAGGAACATCTTAACCAGGCTCATGATAAGGCCATCCTTCGTGTTTCGGATGAAAGAACTTGGCATGTCAACTTATGCAAATACGGCAGGGCTTTCAGACTCCAGAGATGGATGAGATTTGTGCGAGAAAATGATTTAAAAGTAGGTGATGTGTGTGTGTTTGAGTTGATTAACAACATCAAACCTTTATTTAATGTTGCCCTTTTCCACGCCAAATAAGAAAAATTGAAAGAGTAGCCTGATGGATGAAGTAATTGAGGAAGCTGAATATTTCACCAAGAATACTACCATGTTGAATCTGAAAATAGAAGGCAGAGGAGGCCTGCAGATACCAAACTTGCTTATATATTTGTCCTCCATTGTTGTTTTTGATCACCTTAGAAAGGCACAGATCTAAGAATCTCTTTCTTTTGTTTTTGGGAATTGTAACTTCATCTTGAAGATTTACTTTGAAAAGGCATCAATGTAGAAGATCTCTTTACTTTTTTTAAGTCAATATCTAATCCATCTCTATATTATATAGTCATTGTACAATTTGTATCTATATATATAAAGCAAAAGGCTGAGAATGGTGAAACATTCAAAATACCAGAAAATGCTCTTGGTTAATGCAAATATTAAGAATTGAAATTATTAATTAAATGATGATAATATGGTAAATTCACACTTTTCATATTAAAAAAAATTAAAATTAAAAGAAAATTCAGATAATCAATCCCATTTTTATGGAACACAACTACCCATTCTCTTTTTTAATTCTAAAATAAATTTAAATTTTTTTAAAAAAGCCTCTCGCAAGTGCGGAAGCGCGTGCGGAGAGACTAGTTTCAATTATGTGTCTAGTTTGTTGCCGGCCCACTTCCTTCTGGCTCTTCCCTAATCAAGGTCCGATGGATCCATCCGAGTGTGAGGTTTTTATCTCACAAGTGTCTGTGTGCAACTTGGAGAGAGCTACCCCATTCTGAACATCCACTTTTCCCATGGACAAATTATATATATGCTAGAGCCCAATGCAATCAGATGCTATTCATAAGCACTGTTTTTTAAACAGTAAAATGACAGAAAACCCCCCGTTTTACTGTTACAGAACCTTATTTTTCCCAATAATACAGTAAATTGTCGATTTTGCCCTTTTAAAATTTTTCCCCTATGTTCCCTTTTTGCCCCTCTCTCTTTGGGTGCTAACTCTCCCCACTGTTTCGTTTTCACAGAGCGATCGTCCGCTTCCAACCAACTTGGTTAGGCTGGTTGGGGGGCAGCCATGGGATGCACTGCTTCGGTCTTCGGGATTCCTTTGGGGCGTCGATTTCCATTTGGGCTGGTGCCTTAGGAATCACGCCGTTTGTTTAGTCTTCATCTCATCTCATCTGTCGTTGGTTCAGCCATCTTTTCCGAAGTTCGTCTGAGAGATTTTCGATCTGCAAGTTCTTCCATCGTTTCTCTTCAGGTTTGCATCCCCTCAAAGAAAACCATGTTCAACAAACATCAATTTCTAGGGTTATTTCGTTTAGGGTCATCGAGAAAGAAAGGTTTCCTTTCATTTTCTTGAAATAAATCATGTTTTAAAACCTATTTATCTAGATGGACTCTCAAGCATACGGTGCCTGGGGAAACATATGGTTTACTTTGTCAGTTCGATACGCTTGGTACATAAGTTCTGAAAATTGTATGGCCTGATTGAGCAGGGATGCTGTAGAGTTCTTGCTTGAATGTGTATGGTTTGTCCTTTAAAATTACAATTGAACATAATATCCTAGATATTAGGATTGCGGCAGGCTTATGTAGATCACATAGTCTGTGCAACGATTCAATCCTAAGTGAGAGAGTGGTTTTGTGATTTTGATTGTTTAGGGTGAGTTTTGATTGTTTAGGCAG